TGTAGTTAGTAGCTATAATAATACAGCAGTAAATTAAACTGCTGTGAGTTTCTTGGTTTAGAACAAAAGAACCTATTGCCCTGGAAGCTATGAAGTTGCATGAGGGAACCCACTACAGAAACGAGAGCCCCAGTTTTGAAACCTAACAGTGTTAAGTGACTATCTTATCTCTTTAACTGCCCCAGAAACCTGGAAATAATCAAAATGGCTTTGTTTTGATTTTGGTGAATTTTTTATATGGCTTTTTCTATAATTAGTAAAAAAAAAAAAAAAAAAAGGCAAGTGTCCAGTCTAAAATAACCATATTTACTGGGTTATTTGTGAGCTTGTTTCTAGTGAGTTTTATTTGAAAGAATTGAAGTGATTGCAGGCTTTTTCTTGTTGGTTATTAGAAACCAGTCAGATTCATAATGTGAACTTTCCTTCTGCTGACAAATCTGCCCCTTCCTGTCTTCCATGTTCACTAATCAGATCTGACATATTTATGAGTTCACCTAATATGTAATCATATTTAGTAGAAGCTGTTAAAATATTAATATAATAATCCCACCGAGAAATGTGATGTTTACTTCTGTTGAAACGTATGTCCCATTCTATATGTAGAGCCACCATTTTCTTTTCATTTGCACTCTCACTCCACCCTCCCCACGCCCCCCAAAAGAGAATGGGATAGTGTACTACTTCTTTGGTCGCTGAAAGTTATAAAGGTTTTTTAACTGAAAATTAGAACAGTAAAAGCTGTGATCCCACTTTTGAGCACTCATTTCCTCTCATTCTGCACGTTCAATTTATGGCCAGATCCTTTCAGTTTTTCTTGAAAACCCCTGTTAAATAAAAGATACCCAAATGCCAGTGGGCCTTAACCTTTCTGGGTTCCTTTTTTGTTTCTGTCCTAGCTCTTTGGGAGCTCTAGAGCTGTTGTGGATCTCTCTGCCATCACCATGGCCCCATCCCTCTGTGTGCTTACTTACCTCTTTTGGTCCTAATCAAAATGCAGACAATACCATCTCTTTTTAATTTAGCCAAGACAATGTTGAACTTCCGGAAGAGAGATTTTTACAAAGAAATCAAGGAAAAACAGTAAGAAAAAATGTGATCAGTGCTTTTAGATTCTTATTTAACTAAAACCTGGCAACAGCCAATAGAGGGTATAGTATAGACTTTTTAAAAATCCTCCCTTTACCCCCCCTCAAAGCTCTTGAGTGTTTTATCTTGTTTCTTCTGGCCATAGGAACAAGAACCCTGGTTCTCTCCCCTTCCAGGTTAATAACCAGATTAAATATTTGAAGGATCAGCCCTATTGAAGAAGTAAATTATTATACTGAAATAAATGTGTATTATAACCCAAACTTAGAATTCTCAACAGGTCCTCCTTCCTCTCTTGAGGATAAAATATCTTTCTTCCAAATACTTCCTAATCTGCCTCTTCTAATCATGGCCATGATCACCTCTTGCCTGGATTATTTTATCGCCCTGCTAATTGGTCTTCCTGTGTTCATGCCCCCTGCTCTTGTTATCCCCTCAGCATTCTCTATATGGCAGCTAGTATAAATATTTCTAAAGGATAAATCAGATGATGTCATACTTGACTCCTTCAGAACCTCCAGGGGTTCTCCTTTACACTTAGGATGAAATCCAGACTCCTTACTGTGGCCCAGAAAGCCTTTGTGATCTGGCCCCAGGCCACCTCACTAACCTCATTTCCCGACATTCACTCTGCCCCAGCCATACTAGCATTCTTTCTGTCTTTCACTTGAACACACCTTTGACTCCTTCATGTCTGGGGGCCTATTCCCAGATCTTCAGGAGACTGACCCTTATTATTCAGATCTCAGCTCCAGTGTTAACTCCTTCTGTGTCATTTCATGACCACCTCAGTTACAGTAGGCTGTACTATTCCCTCCCTTTTTTATGTTACCTCATTTCGTTTTCTTGACAATGTTTATTGGTTTCTGAAGTTAACGCATTTATTATATATTCTCCCTCCACTCCTCTCTAGAGAAGGTAAAGAAACTGTGGTGCTACAATTTCAATAGCACCTAGAAAAGTACCCAGACAGAGGAGTAACTCAATAAATGGATGTTGGTTGATCGATAACTCTAAGGTTCCAGCCTTAGTCGAAGTTCTTATGCTATCCCGCCTAGGCTACATACAGCCTTATCCCCAGTACAACCCTTGCCCATTTTATTCTTAGACTCATTCATCATCTTAAGCATTATATCCCCTTTCCCCTACAATGGGTTTCAATGCCTGAGTCTTTCCTCAAAGCCCTTTTTTAAAAGTTTTTATTTTGATCATCCAGTGTTCATCACAGCAGGTGCACTCCTTAATCCCCATTTACTATTTCAAGCCCCCTTCTCAAAGCCCTTCTTATGGCCAAACAGAATCCTTAAATATCATTTGCCTCTCTCTAGTCATAAATATTACTCTATCTAGCCCTTACATCCCCAGTTCCAAATGGTGTCCTGTGTCTGGAACATTTTTCTTTCTCTACTTACCACACCCTTCCCTCTGGTTAAAGCAGGGTTTGATTGCCAACTGGAAACATCTGTCAATTCACAATCAGGTTCAGCCAGTCCATGCTGCATCTTCCAACCTATACACAATACAGTTAGCAAAGTGAGCACACTTGATATTGCAGTGGTGGTGGTTAGGCTAGTTGAAGTCTGTATTTTCCCCTCCTGGCCCAGCTTCAAAGAAATTCATGGTAATTTTGAAAGTGGTGCTTGTAATACTTTTCAGGGGTGGGGGGTGGGAAATGTTAGCCTTTAGCCTTTGAGGACTAAGCTGAGGACAGCCGTATAAATACTTAAGTCCTTTCGTTTTATGTACCTGTCACCTGACAGCTTCTTCTTTTCTTTCCTTTGGAGCTAACTGTTCATTGTAAACAGAAAAGCAGAAGAGCTGTGCAGGGGTGGCAGAAAGTTAGTGTTACCATTAAACTGAGGTGGTTTGTCCGCTTTCCTAGACATTTGAACCGTAGTGGTTGAGTCATCAAGCTTTTGTTGGGAAAACCAAATCAATTCTATTGCCACCAGTAACCATTACCCTTTCTCCCATACACTCTAATATACAACCTTTTGATTTTTTAATAATGGAACTTTTCACTGTGCCCTTGTGGATTTTCAAAGGTTCTCAAATTGAAATTTTGCTACTTTTACTTTAGCCATTAGTAGAAAAATCTGTATGGGAGAATGATTGAGGGAAGAGGCTTGATAACAAAGACCTTTATCTCCTGAGCTCTCTATAAATGTAATATCTTAGTTACAAATGAAATTAATATTGCAATGACATTTATCCTTAGGAATACTCTATCCTTAGAAGTTTCCATTTTATTAAAATATAATTTACATACAATAAAATTACACCCATTTTAAGTATACAGTTTGATGAGTTTTGGCAAATGTATACATACAGCTGTGTAACAGTCAAGCTATAGAACATGTTTATTGCCCCAGAAACTTCCCTTGCACCCTTACTCAGTCAGTCCGATCCCCACATCCAGTCCCAGTCAGTCACTGATCTGTTTTTATCATTATAAATTAGATTTGTTGTTCCTAGAGTTTCATATAAGTAGAGTTGTAAAGTATGAGTTTTTGGTACCTGCCTTCTTTTGTTCAGCATGTGTTTGAGATTCATACGTGTGATTTTGTGTATCTGTGGTTCATTCCTTTTATTGCTGAATACTATTCAATTTTACAGATAGATCTCAATTTGCTTATCAACTCTTTTTTTTTCTTATCAACTCTTGCTGGACATTGAGATTTTTTTCAGCTTGGGACTATTCTAAATAAAGCAGCTATGAACATTTATATACAAATCTTTGTGTAAAAATGTTTTCATTTTGTAGGAGAGGTAAATGCCTAGGAGTGGAATTGCTGGGTCATATGATAAGTATGTGTTCAATTTTATAAGAACCTGCTCCCTGTATTCTAAAGTAGTTGTATCTTTAATCATTACTGCCAGCAATGTATGAGAGACCCAATTGCTCCTCATCCTTGCCAGTACATGGTTTGTTCAGTCTTTTTCATTTTAGCCATTCTTGCGTGTAGTGGTATCTCATTGTGATTTTTTTTTTTTTTAAAGAGTTTATTTACTTATTTAACAGAGAGAGAGACAGGGAGAGAGGGAACACAAGCAGGGAGAGTGGGAGAGGGAGAAGCAGGCTTCCCGCGGAGCAGGGAGCCCGATGCGGGGCTC